GGGAGTCTGCTTCTCCCTCTGACCCTCCCCCCTCTCATGTGCTTGCTCTCTCTCATTCTCTCTCTCTCAAATAAATAAATAAAATCTTAAAAAAAAATGATAATAACGTAGGGATAATAATGTATGACAAACGTATGGAACATTCATACGCTAGGATCGGGTATTATCTGATTTGATACACACTATCGCTGCCCCGGAGCCCTGGGTACTAGGATCATATATGAATGTTCCATATATTTAGCATTTATTTGTGGCTGGAGTGATTTTAGTTATTTTGAAAGTAATCTTTTGTTTTGTTTTTATCTTTTGGAAGCTTGCAGGATTCCATTTCCTGGAAGTTTAAAATCTTTACTAAAAATACATCAGGCAATTGATATCCCATCAGTTTTTCCCAAGAAAAACGGTGAGTTTGCTGAAATGTAATCTCTGGTTCCATTTCATATCTGAAGAGTTTCTTCTATTTTTTCCTTTGGTTACTGCATCTCAACTTTTTGCCTCATGTTTTGGGAGCTCTTGTTATTCAAAGCAGAGACCTCGATTACATACCTTGTCTATCTTTTTGTTAAATTCTTCTGAATTTCAGAAATGTGTCTCTATCCTCCACGTTGCTGATTGAGTTGTCTGTTCGATCGTGTCTTCTTTTTATTGCTTCAAAAAGAAGTTATTTGGCCTAATGTTTTGATTTTAGACAGGGTGTTCTTCTTTAACAAATACAATATTTTCTTTTCTAATTTAGATTATTTTCTAAAATTTTCATTTTCTTTCATCTTGTTTCACATTAATGCTTCAGTCTTCTAATGCCACAGAATATTTTCATAGGTTTTGGGTTCAGTGTTAAATGTTTTTTTGTTTGTCTGTTGGTTTTGGTCACCAAATTATATTTGCTGATATATATTATTACTGCTTGGGAGCCCTGGCTACTAAAATTTACCCTCCACATCTTGTTCATATATAGAGAAAACTTACCTGGACTTAACCCACCTGAAAAGGCAGGTAGGGTAAGGATGCCACTCACAACTTCTCCCTGACTATTCTAGGTGGTAAGAAGTATCTCCTCAAAGCCTAGCGCCTGAGGGTATCCCTGTCCTGGGGAGTGACCATAAGGAAATTCATGGGCTGGAGCAAAGCTCGATGAGAACAGAGCAGAGACTTTCTATGCTATTCAGTGAACAAGAAGGACAAACCCTAAAAAAAGAAAGCAGAAGCAAGAGCAGGGCACTATAGTCCTTGTCATTTGATTGGACAGAGAACATCAGGGAATGAATCGCAATGTGCTCAAGCATCTCTTTTGTGGTTACTGCGGAAGATTCAGCTGTTTTCGGGTAGCATTTTAAGGGAAGTGTGGAAAAGCAATGGTGGTTGTTGTAATTGCTCCGCTTTCCAGAATTAGCTCTCTAATGGTTTCCAGAAGATCAGAAAAGGTTAGCTATTTACTTATTAATTTAATCTAACTCTGTTTACTTATTAACTTCCTATGGGCATAGTGCTTACCAAGCTGGTGTTTTTTTCAACATTAATATCAGCAGGGGCTCTTCAACTTTCAATAACAATTTTTTTTTTAGCATACTCTGTTAGAAAAAAAAAATTTTCCAAACCAAACAGCAACAGTCTTAATAGCATCATTGTTAGTAGGTACTGTACTAGTCTTCTCTACAAATTCCCACAAACGTAGAACCTTAAAACAACACACATTTCTTATCTTAGTTTAGGATACCAGAAGTCTAAAATAGGTCAGCAAAACTGTCTGGGGGCTCTAAGGGAGAATCTGTTTCATGGTCTTTTCCTGCCTTTAGAGGCTGCCTGCAGTGCTTGGCTCGTGGCCATTTCCTCCATCTTCAGAGCCAGCTGGGTAGCATCTTCTCTCCTCTCTGACCTCCTGCCTCCCTCTTCTAAGGACTCTTGTGATGAATTGGGCCCACCTGAAAAGTCCAGAATAATCTCCCATCTTAAGATTCTTAATTTGATCACATCTACAAAGTCCCTTTTGATTATTAGGTAATATATTCAGGAGTTCTGGGGATTAGGACATGGACATCTTTGGGGGAGGGCATTATTCGGCCTGCTACAGTTACCATTCATTAAATGTCTTCTATGTGGCAGGTACTCTACCAGAAGCAAGTCATGTAATTGCATTATTCTTTAAAGCAACCGTGTGGTATTTTTACTGATTAGAAAATGGAGGCTGAGAGGAGATCAGAAAGAGCTCTGTCCTAAATCCCAGGCCAGTTTGTCCAACTGTCTCCTTGACATCTCCACTTGGATGTCTAATAGGCCTCTCAAACTTAACGTGTCCCAAAGTAAGCTCTTGTGATTCCTCCCTACAACCTGCTCCACCAGCAGCAATCCCCGGCTCAATAATGGCACCACCCTCCCAGCTGCTCAGGCCACCGGAATCACTCCTTCCCTTTCTCGCACATCTCACTTTTGATGGGTCACAAAATCCTGCTGGCTCTCCCCTCATAACACATGCAGAATTTGACCACGTCTCACCATGTACATGGCTACCACACAGGTCTCAGCTCTCCTCATCTCGCCCTTGGAATATTAGAGCAGGCTTCTGCCCTTACCTCCAGTTAATATATTTTCAACAGCCAGAGTGATCTTTTAAAAAAACATAAACGAGAGCACTTGACTCCCTGCTCAAAACACCAATGTCTTTCTGCCTCATTTAGAAGAAGAGCCAAAGTTCATTCTTTCATCTTCAAAACCCTACACGATGCAACTTCATCCCCTACGTGTCTTCCCCTTACTCACTTCACTCCAGCTCTACCGACCTTCTTACTTTTCTTTGACACTTCCAAGTATACTGCTGCCTCTGGGCTTTGCATTGGCTATTTTCTCCACGTGGAATATCTTCCTCCAGATATTGGCATAATAAGCCTCCTCACCTCTTTCAGGTCTTCTCCCAGATGTCATCTTGTAGGAAAGCCTTTTTAACCCCTCCATCCCCAACATTTTATATGAAAATATTACCCTTCTGTCCCTCACATTTTATATTCCCACTTTCTGTTTTATCTTTCTCTTGAGCACTTATGTCCATCTAACCTACTATATATGTGACTTACATAATAGGGACACATATGTGTGAGCATACAGTTGGGGTAGCTAGCCTCCAAAGTGACTAACAGGGAGTTTCACCTCTCAGGGTTCAAGCCCCCTCCCATGTCAGGAAAGACCTCTATAATCAATATCATATATACATTATGTATACATGTATATTATATATGTATGCACGTACATTTTACATATATATGTGTATGTGTGTGTATATATGTATATATGTACATATATATGTATATACATGTGTATATGTGTGTATATATGTGTATATATATACGTATATATGTGTATATATATATCGTATATACATAATCAATCAGAAAAGATGGTGCAAGGCTCCAAAGCTAGGTCATAAAAGACATCGCAGCTTTCGCCTTGCTCTATCTTGGATCACTCACTCCAGAGGAAGCCAGTCTCCATGTTGTGAAGACACTCAGGCAGCTCTAGAGGGAGGTCCATGTGGAGAAGAAATGAAGCCTCCTGCCAAGAGTCAGCACCCACTAGCCATCCATGTGAGGGAGTCAACTTTGAAGTAGATCGTTCAGCCCCACTCAAGTTTTCAGATGACTACAGATCCAGTCAATGTCTTGACAACAACTTCATGAGAAACCCTGAGCTAGAATCCAACCTAGCTGGTCCCAAATTCCTGACCCATAGAAATAAAGAAAGAAGAAATATTGTCAATCAAAACGTGACTCTTCCTTCCTACCTTACCTCTACTGGAAATCTCTTTATAAGTCTTATGGTATTTGGTAAATCTAGGGTGTCTAAATGTTTTCTAGTGTTGCATTGTTCACATTCCCTAGTGAGAAGGAACAACCTTTATTTGTAGCTAAAATCTTAATACTTATGAAATGAAAAATTCAGTCATTTCCACACTAAAACCTGAAACCTTTCTGTGATAATTCTGGTTTTAATTCTTGTTTATATCACAATTTCTAAATTGGGTCTGAACATGATGCACCCTATGTGAATACCAGTGTCTGTGCATGGACACTTGAACTATAATAAAGCCTTACATATAATTGGCGCTTTGTATACACTTTCATTTAGAAGGCACTTACATGTGGTCTTCATGGTAACATCTGAGAAGCTCTCAGGGCAGGTACTCTTTCCATTTTACAGATGAGAAAATTGATCGTCAAAGAAGTTAAAGTATCCTCTTAAGATTAGTAGGGAATGGATGGTCAATATAGAATTTCTCTACATCCTAGTTCAGTTCCTCACATTGCTCTAGACGCTTGTTGGCAGGGTTTGTACTGACCTGAGGTAATTAAGTCAAGTGCAGCAGGAACTCCAATGAGTCTGGGGAGAAGCTGGGTTCCTCTTGCACCAGGAAGGATTCCTAATGTGACTTCTGGGAAGCCAATTTGAGCCTATCAAAGTTTGAAGGCATGAAGATCATAAGAGTGAGATGACTTGTAGAGTCAAGGCAAGCATTCCCCTGATTTCCCACACTCTAAAAAACGCCGTTCCATAATATTCGGCAAGAGTTTCTACAGGGCAAATTAGTGTACACTCTACTTTACTTAACAGCATAAACAGAGCAGTGCTGTCCCTAAGTCTTCATGTTGAAACACATCCCTAGCTTCTTACACACTTTTTCTCTGACTCCATTATGACCTGTTTGGGCCAACAAAAATGATATTCTCCAGAAACAGCTGTATGGAGCCCTAAAAGAGCCAGGCAGCCAAGAAATTAAAAAGACAACCCACAGAACAGGAGAGAATATTTGCTAATCATATATGTAGAATACATAAAGAACTTTGTCAACTCAATAATAAAAAGACAATCCAATTAAAAAGGGGCAAAGCAACTGCATAGACATTTCTCCCTAGAAGAGATACAAAATGGCCAACAAGCACATGAAGAGATGTTCAATATCATTAGCCATCAGGAAAATTCAAATCATAACCACAAGATACTACTTCACATCCACTAGGATGACTATAATAAAAAGATAGACAATAACAAGTGTTGGAGAGGAGGTGGAGAATACAAAACCCTCATACATTGTTAGTGGAAATATGAAATGGTACAGTCACTTTGAAAAACAATTTGGCAGTTCCTCAAAGTTTAAACATAGAGTCACCATATGACCCAGCAATTCTACTCCTGGATTTATACCCAAGAGAAATGAAAACACGCCCCCCCCACCCCACACACACAAAAGGTACACACATTTTCATAGCATCATTATTCACAAAGGCCAAGAAAATGGAAACAACTCACATGTCGATTAATTGACGAATGGAAAAAGAAAATGTCGTGTATCTATACAAGGGAATATTATTAGGCCATAGAAAGGAATGAAGTACTGATACAGGCTACAATATGGGTGAACCTTGCAAACATTATGCTAAGAGATAGAAGCCATAAAAGACAACATATTCTATGATTCCATTTATATGAAATGTCTAGAATGGGCAAACCTATAGAGACAGAAAGATTAGTGGTTGCCTAGGACTGGGGGAGAGGGTAGATGGTGGGTTACTCCTAAAGGGTATGAATTTTCTCTTTGGGATAATAAAATGTTCTAAAATCAACTGTGGTAATGGGTGCACAACTCTGTGAATATGCTAATATACCATTCAATTGTACACTTCAAATGAGTGCATTATAGGGTATGTGAATTTTATCTCAATAAAGCTACTGCAGAAAAATAATCAGGCAACAACCTCAGTCCAGACAAGAGGGTGAGCTTGAGTCCTTTATCACATGCCTCTCCTGGCTATTTAAAGGTGGCTAAAGCTCGGGGCATCTGGGTGGCTCAGTTGGTTAAGTGTCCGGCTCTTGATTTTGGTTCAGGTCATGGTCTCAGGGTTGTGAGATCGAGCCCTACATTGGGCTCATGCTGGGTATGGAGCCTATTTGAGATTCTTTCCCTTTCCCTCGGTCTGCACTCCCCACACCCCACCATCCCCCCTTCTCCCGCTCACGCACACATGCTCTCTCCCTCTTTCCATAAAAAAAAAAAAAAAAAGTAGCTAAAGCTCTGTTAGTCTTCTTCCAGGTACAGGATGGGAGGAGGAGAGTGCTTTAATGCAGACTGTCATGTACCCACATTGTGATGCCAACAGCTCCAAAATAAATATTTTTTCTCTCTCACACAAGGCTTTCCTAACAGTCAGTCATGATTTTTTCTACCACTGTTCATCCCCATCCCCTGACTTATTATTGCTCATAACTTAGATCTGCCCTCAGTGTGCAGAAGGCATGGTAAGAGGGACACAGAAAAAGGAGCACTTAGGATATATGTCTTTATTCATAAGCCTTTATAAAAATTAAAATGCCCTAAGGAAATAGTTAAATAAATTATGGTATATCTATAAGACAAAATTATACAGTCATTTAAAATGATATTTTTAAAGACTATTTACAATAAGATTAACAGCAAATTTCTCATCAGAAACCATGGAGGCCAAAAGGCAGTGGGATGACATATTCAAAGCACTGAAAGTAAAAACCTGTCAAACAAGAGCTCTATACCTGGCAAAACTAGCTTTTGAAAATGAAGGCAAATTAGGGGTGCCTGAGTGACTCAGTCAGTTAGGTGCCCGGTTAAGTGTCCGACTCTTGGTTTCAGCTCAGGTCATGATCTCATGGGTCATGAGATCGAGCCCAAGCAGGCCTCTGAGCTCAGTGGGGAGTCTGCTTCAAGATTCTCTCCCTCTGCCCCTCCCCTCACTCGTGCACACATGTGTGCATATGTGCTCTCTTTCTCTCTAAAATATTTTTTTTAAAAAGATAGTAAAGGAAAAAAAAGCTGTAAGAAAAAAACTGTTAGGTAGGAAAAAGACCAGAAGAAAACAAAATAGAATGCTAATAGTGGTTATTTCTGAACTGTGAGTTTATGGGTGATTTTAGTTTACATCTTTGTAGTTTCCTGTATTTTCTAGTCTATTACAATGATCAATATTATCTTTATCATTAGAAAAATATGTTACTTACAAAAATGTTACCATTGTTAAGGCTAGTATCACAGACCTCATCTACAGACCTAATAGCCCAAATTAAATGTATTTACAGAAACAAATGGATTTACAGTTTTGTGCTATTTTCGAATACGAAATTGTCTTCTTAGGTACTGATAATCAGAGGGACCACAAAACCGAAACATTTGAGACAGGGAATAAAATTTTAGGGGCACCTGGGTGGCTCAGTTGGTTGGGTGACTGCCTTTGGCTCAGGTCATGATCCCAGGTCAGGGTCCTGGGATGGAGCCCCACATTGGGCTCCCTGCTCAGTGCGGAGCCTGTTTCTCCCTCTCCCTGCTGCTCCCCCTGCCTCTGCTCTCCTGCTCTCTCTCTGTCAAATAAATAAAATCTTAAAAAAAATTTTTTTTAAAAAGTACACATACTCAGGATGATAGTCAAAATACTTTATACCTCATACTGCATGAACATGGCTCGGAGGAACCTGACCTGAGCCATACTACTGGAGCAGAGTCCTGGGGGCCCAGTACTGATCCAGGAGTTCCCCTTTAGGTGGTGGATCATGGGGAGACCCAAGGGACAGGGTAGGGGAAGCAAAGGAACAGTAATGGGGCTCAGGCTAATAGCTATTTACCCACTGGAATGGACATATTTCACCAACTACTACCATTGTGCTGGTACGTAGCAGCTGCAAAACCAGTGGCTAAAAATAGATGAGTTGTCAACCAGTGAGCTAGCCCTTTAAAATGAACACCTCTGAGGCTTACAGTGCATTTAGGTTTTGCCTTAAAGAAAAGTCCCCCACACCAAGCCCCATACGGAGCTTTAGCTGTTACCTCTGCGTGGGCAATCCTATAGTGACAGCCCAGGGCCAGCTCCAGTCCCCCTCCTAAAGCCAGGCCTTGAATAGCTGCCACCACGGGCTTCTCATTTCTCTGTATTTCATCTACTACATGTCCCAGTACGAAGTCAGACATTCTAGGTGTCCCGAAGCTGTGGATATCAGCACCTAAGGACACAGACAAGGAGAAAGAGAGCTGAGAAAGACGTGGGCTCTGTTACATAACAATAAGGCGACAGCTAACTGTCAAGGAATCTCAGACCTCTTAGGGCCCATGAAACATTTCATCCTTTAGTTGGACGCACAGTGAAGAAAAAACAGCCTGGAAAATGGAGAACAACCTGAGAGACAATCCCCAAATCTTTATCAGGAATCCTGTAATCTTCTAAAATATGTCTTTCCATATGATAGGTAGCCACCTTCAAAAAAAATTAAGGGGTGCCTGGGTGGCATAGTTGGTTAAGTGTCTGACTCTTGGTTTCAGCTCAGATCATGATCCTAGGGTCCTAGGATCGAGCCCCGCATTGGGCTCCTTGCTCAGCATGGAGTCTGCTTGAGATTCTCTCTCTCTCCCTCTCCCTCTGCCCCTCACACTTGTGCTCTCTCTCTAAAATAAATAAATAAAATCAAAAAAAAAATTTTTTTTTAATTAAAAAGCTCAGGGGCACCTGGGTTCAGTCAGCTGAGTGCCAACTCTTGGTTTTGGCTCAGGTCATGATCTCAGGGTCGTGAGATCCAGCCCCAGGTAGGGCTCCACACTCAGCAGAGTCGGCTTGAGATTCTTTCCCTCTCCCTCTTCCTCCTCCTATGCCCATCCCCCTGCTTACACGTGCACTCTCTCTCTCTCAAATAAATCAATATATAAAATCTTAAAAAAAAAAAAAAACATTAAAAAGCCCAGAGAAGGGAAATAGAGAATCTGAAGTTGAGCCAGCCCTTCCTATTTTTTTTGCATGGTATTCCTCACCAACCTTATTCACAGCAATTTAGACCCAGATTTTCATTAAGAGCATGAAGGCATTACAACATAAAACTTCAGCATGAAACACATACATATTTATGAGTTATATGTTCATCAACCAGCTTGGAATTATGTTTTCATAATAGATTTTTTTTTGTGATCAAGAAAAGTAACAAAATTTATTGGTTTCCCTAATCATAAAAATAACACATGTGGGGCACCTGGGTGGCTCAGTTGGTTACCTGTCTGCCTTCGGCTCAGGTCATGGGGATGGAGCCCCGCATCGAGCTCCCTGCTCAGGGGTAAGCCTGCTTCTCCCTCTCCCTCTGCTGCTCCCTCTGCTTGTGCTCACTCTCTCTAATAAATAAATAAAATCTTTAAAAAAAAAAAAATTCTTCAAACTCTACACTTGGAATGGGTGGATTTTACTGTGTGTAAATTATACCCCAATAAAACTGGAAGAAATGAAAACAGAAGCAAAGATTACTTATAAAATTTCTTGAAAAAAACTTATTTTCATTTTTGCATATTTCCTTTAAATTTTTGGCCATATTCATACTCTATATAGCTATAATTATAGAATTTATGTAAATTTATATTTTAGACATTTTTATACACAATTTTACATATTTCTGTATAGTCTTCATAATTACAATTTAAAATAGTTATATATAATTGTCAAAAGCTAAAAACCATTTCCCTACTGTTAACAGGTGAATTACCAAATTTTAAAGCAGATGATTCCTAAAAAAAACGGAAAGGAAAAAAAAAAAAAAAGCAAGTAATTCCTCCTCAATATTTGGACGCCACCAAGTGGACAAACTGTGCAATGTTGCAGAGACCGAGTAGGCCATTTTATAAATTTTATAAATAAAAAAATTAACTTAATGTTTAGTTTTCTAATTTAAAAATTATTTTTAAAGTCAAGTACATTTTTAAAATTAAAACAGACCATTTTACAATTTACTAGACTATGATCCTCATCTATCTCTTTTAGTTCCTTAACTCTCATATCTCAATCTAGGGAAATCAGTTAAGGAAAAGAACTTCCTGTGGAGACCTAGTTCTTTACAAACTAAAGCCATGGGTGTCAATGTTAGACATGGGTCTATCACCAGCCCTAAACCAAAAACCCTTGTACGCATCTCCAAACGCAAAAAGCCTTTGCTATCAGCCAATCGAGTGACTTCTAACACGACAATAAGCCCTCCCGGGAGGCACAGTGAAATCAGAGACAAAAAGTTGGTGATGACTGTATGGAAGGCAGAGAACGATACCAGGAGGCTCATTCCCTTTTGGGCAAAGACTTGCTAATTCTCTATGAGTCACCAGGATCTTCTCTCTACAGTCCCTGGCTTCTCCAGTTCAAGCTTTTACAGTCGCATTGAAACCGCAACTGGCTAGAGCCACAAAAAGAAAGATTATTTCAGGGAAGTGTTTGGTCCCTGCCAGGGTCGACAAAAGGACGACTTTTTCAAAAGAATGCCTTTGAATGACACTGAGCCTTTGCCTACCACCAAGCCGAAAGAAGAGCCTGAAGCTCTACCTGTGACCCATCACTGCTCCCCATTATTTTTTCTGGCACTCTTTAACCCTCTCCATCTTGCTGCCAATCTCCATAAATTAAAAAGGAAAAGTTGAAAAGAGGAAAAAGGGAAAACGCTAGGAGTGCCACTCCCAAGGACTCTTAAAGGAATGAATGCCATGAATCCATAAAGTGAGAAACCAGCGAGAGAAAGAAAATACAGCTCACGAGACATAACTATGGTTTCATTGTGGCAAATTAGAGAGGCTTGTTTCTTTCTTTTTTTCCCCCCCAAGATTTATTTATTTATTTGAGAGAAAGTAGGGTGAGGGGCAGAGGGAGAGAATTTTCAAGCAGACTCCCCGCTGGGAGTGCAGCCGGATCTCATGACCCTGAGATCAAGACCTGAGCCAAAACCAAGAGTTGGATGTTCAACCTGTGCCTGAGCCCCCCAGGCACACTGAGAGTCTTGTTTCTGTTTGCTGAATTGTTTGTTTGCTTGTTTTCATTTTAATTATATTTCTTACAGAAAATACATTATTTTAATCCAAATTCAAAAGTACAAAAGGGTAAACAATGAAAAATTTTCTTCCAAGAGCTTCCCTGGCTGACCAACCCCATTCCCAGAGGCAACCATTAACCATTTCTTGTGAATCTTTACAGAAATATCTTATATGTAGATGAACAGTTACATATATACATTCTCCCCATATAGACATTCAGGTCCATCCCCCTTTTCTTTTTGCATAAATGGTGAACCACTATACACAATGATGTATAGGTTTTTTATTTTAAAGATATTTATTTATTTGAGAGAGAGAGAGCACGAGCGGGGTGAAGGGCAGAGGGAGAAGCAGACTCCCCACTGAGTAGGGAGCCAGATGCGGGACTCGATCCTGAGACTCTAGGATCATGACCTGAGCCGAAGGCAGACTCTTAACTGAGCCACCCAGGGCCCTGGATGTATAGTGTTTTTCACTTTGTAATACAATATGTCGTGGCATTTATAACGTATTAATATGTACAGTTTCTTATTCATTTTAAAGCTCCATCATATTTTATCACATGGATGTACCATAAGACATTTAAGGAATTCTTTATTAAAATGAAAGTTTAGCTTGCTTCCAATCTTGTGCTATTTTTATTATTATCTTCTTACCAGAAATTCTCTGGGCTAATTTGATTGCTTCTTCAACCGGGTCTGAGTTCACAATTTCATCTAGAATACCCAGCTTGAGGGCTTCATCTGCCAAAACATGTCTTCCTAAAACAAAACAAAACAAAAATCAAAGAACAATGTGAGGTTAAAGCAAAAGCATTACTCTCTCTAGTAGGGAAGGTTATCTGTCTTGGATACAAACATCTATGATTAAATGAAATAAATAAGCAACACACTGACCTTTATAGTAGAAAGGTCACTGTATAGGTAACCAGAAAACTTAGTTCAAGCTTCAGCTCTACCTTCTACTACTATTTGCGTGATGATGAAGAATTGTATGGGGACCACCCCTTCCTCCTAGACAAATGGGAATAATTATGCTTACCTTGGTAATTCTGAGTATCAAGTGAGAATAACACATTTTCTTTATAGTCTATAAATCTCTATGGAAGCACTTTGTGAAGTAGACATTTCTAGAGAAGAGATGATCAAGTTTTGAGACCAATAACAGAGATAGTAACAGCAGAGAGTAGCAGGATCTATCTTACACCAATATACACCGACACACATACCATCACTGATTACCAAAAAAAAAAAAAAAGACAGTCCTGAAACATGAATATAGTTGGGTAAGCAGGGGGAAATTATTGATTAGGTTGACATTATTGAAGTTATAATCAAAATTACACGGGATAAATGGGGTGGACTTGTGTCATTTTTTGCCTACCCAGCATCTCTCTTCGTTTGTGGAGTTGCTATTGTGTGAGTTTTGGAGCCCTGCCTTTTACCACAGAAGCTAAAAGGGAAGCAGAAGTGATCAGACAATTGTTGCTTCAGATCCATGCAGGTAGGGTGTGGCCCATGACCCCAAGTTTGGAGAAAGGAGTGCTCTACAGAGGGTTGTCAGCCTGGAGTGAGGACAAAAAGGAGCAGCTGGCGACATCTAGTGTCTGATGGCGGTGGTACCAGGAGCTGCTAATGGGCAGGGGTGGCCCTGGCCACCTCCACTATAGAATGGCAGCTGTAGGGTGTTAAAAAGTTTGATGAGCATCACTCCTGAGTTCTTCATTGGGTGTAAATACATAATTTAATCTGAATATTCTGAAGAAGCGAGTTAAGGGATACGAGCATCCCTTAACACAGGGTCAGAAGAAAGGAGACAGTAACACCTTACTTGCTTTCTTGCCAGTACCATCTTGCCTTGTGGAAAAGTGATCATCAAATCAGTCTTGAGGGTAACAGTGTCACAGTCCTTGCTGTTCATACAGTGTTAGTGGAGGTCATCTTTGAGACAAACCCTCCATTCCTAGTTCTTAGTAGTGCTTCAGAGAGTTACAGATGGGTTTTCTTGATCAGAGAGACAGTTCAATGATTTCCGGCAGGGGCCACTCTGCAACATTATTTGGGTGGTGTTCTAGAAGTGCCTTTGAAAACAGGCTCCCAGATTTCCCCCTGGGGCGAGGAGGGCAGTGAGGAGTGGATGAGTGGCTGCAGGGATCAAGTCTCCTGTGTATAAGATCACT